CCCCTCTCCCCCTCTCCCCAGCCTCCTTCCCTCTCTCACCCGCGGTTGATTAAGGAGATTCAAAAATTTAACAGCTAACAAATGGCTTACCCACAGCGATATTCGATTATAGGACATTTTCTAATAGAGACCTGACCCCTCGTTCTTTGACTGGATTGTGATAGAAGCTGACAAAAGCATTTATTAGACCCTTTTGAGTCAAGGAGGAGGTATCTCGGAAAGAGTGTAGCGGGGTAATATCTCTCCAAACGTGAATGAGAACATTTTGTTGACATAACGATGACCATGAAGCACCCTGTCCTCCTCCGCTTTTGCCTGAGATAATACATGCTTGCTTTTTTACTAAGTAAGAAACCGATTTGCTTACCGTAAAACGTTCCACTAAGTCCGTAAATTCCTTCTTTTCAGCATCACTCAGTGTGCTAAGTAGTTTGTCTTGCTTAATAATACACAAAATCAATGAGATTGGCGGATCAAACACTCCAAAAAAAGGCTAAGTTACCTGTTCTTTTATTATTTCCCAAGTAGCTGATTCGTCTTGCAACGTCTTCTCGTAAACGCCTCTTACCTTAATATACACCAAAGTTTTAGATTAGGTTATGGCATTCATGTAGAGGTCGCTTCCAAAATCGTACAGATTTTTACAAAATTTTACTTACTCGAATTGACCGGATTACCGAGTCGATTGCTGCGTGTCTCGTATCTTAGTGTCTAATAAACGGGTGGGTCTTTCTATGCCATTTACATTGATCAAGGTGGATGCGTTATCAATTTACTGTTTTCGAAGAATAAAATGCTTGGTTGGATAAGGAAGTGGTTGCAAAGTTTTGATTCCAACAATCATAGCAGCACCTCATACAAGTGCCACTCCTACGAATCTGACTTCATCCGAGGCATTTTTGAAAACCTTTTTGTCTTATTAAATCAAGCAGATAAAGTAGACGATTTTACAAGTTAGCTTGTAGTATAGCTTGTAAACATTCAAGCATGATACTCATGACTGGCAGTTGAGCAGACTCATGCGATGGCTATGTCATCCATACCGCAAGATAAAGGCTGTTGCATGACGAAGGCGACGGAGCAGTATTCGTTGAACGCGCGCGAACGCGAGGCGCGTATCCTTACCGTTGTAAATCCTGCGCCTCATGCGCTCTGTGGCTAATAAAGCCGCGTTCGC